CTTTGGACCCGGAGGAACGAGTGTCAGCTGTCGGCTCGTTATCTCTGATTGGGAGCCATATTTAAACGCCTGTTTTCACCTGGTTTTGTGGGTTTTTTGTTCCTTGTCAGTCTTAGTTACTGTGGACTTTACGATTCGTCTATTTTGTTTTGGTACTTTAATTAAATAAAGTCTATCATGTTCGCTCAACGCGCTGCGCTTTGGTCTCCCTCATTTGACGATCGTGACAATCGGTAGGACTGGTGGAGTTATGTCGCACATGCAGCTAACAAAACATATGGAAATGTCTGCTCTACCCAAAATTACAACCAAAATAATTGCAGCCTTACCACAAAAGTGGAACGAGGAAGTGGAGTGGGAGAAAGTAAGAACTTGTCTGTCGGCCTTGCATTAAAGAACATAATTGATTAAGGAAAACTGTGATAATAAAAAAGTATATCAGTTTCACTTAAGGACCAAAGGATTGACAGCCGTCCCATATAGATTGCAAAATAGTTGGGAAGAGATCTTTGACGTACCGATCCCATGGCATAGTGTTTATGAACTGACACGCAAAACCGACACCGGATTAAAAATTAGAATCTTACAATTTAAATTATTATATAAAATTCTTGCTACCAATAGAATGTTATTTATATGGGGGATACAATCTTCCCAGCTCTGCAGATTTTGCTGTGAAGAGACAGAATCATTAGATCATTTGTTTTGGTTCTGTCCATTTGTAGCTTGTTTTTGGACACAGGTCCAGGAATGGCTAAAGGATTGCAATATTTACCTGGAACTAACCTTGCAGATAGCATTACTGGGTGATCTGAAAAGTCATAGTCAATCAATCAATAATATAATAATACTTTTAGCAAAAAAATATATTTTCAATTTACAATCTGTAGAAACAATGAGAATAGAAAGGTTCAGAACTTTTGTAAAACATAACAGTACAGTTGAATAATATATGGCAAATAGAAATCCAATATGGATGGTGTTAAATGAAGTTGAAGGATGGGACTAATAACAACTAACAACAACTAATAACAACAAGATAACTAATAATGTAAAGCATACTGTGTCCATAATAAGTATTTAGGTTATTGTTATGTGAATTATTTAACAAACTATTTTAGTGTCTCTGTGCGTCTCCCAAAAGGTTGTAAGTCTTTTGGGATTTAAGTAACGGCCAGAGTCCCGGTCTGCATAGTCAGAGATATTTATTCATTGAGAATTCTGCCATCACAATTTCAGAGTCCATCTTTTATACTCATACGTCATACAAAAATAAATCCCTTTCCTCTGTAGGCGGGCTGTAGTTTTCCACTCTAAAACTGCTCTACTGACTTTCAGTTCACACACATATACACACATGCATACACACATACATACACACACACACACACACATATCCTACTCCCTGCTTTACTCAGTTATTGCCATTCTCACAATGTTCTGCACCATGTTTTCATAACAGTTTCTCCCCTCCCTAAATTGGGAGGCCTCTTTATCTTAGTTTCTCAGTTGTCTTTGTTGTCTGGCCTAACTCTTACTCACATTGCTAAATAGTGGCTCAATGCCATAGCCTTTACTGGTCCTACACTCACACATTTCTAACACATTATACACAGTTTCAGGGTGTAATAATTAGTCATTAATAATTAATCTATCAGTTATAGATTGAGAGCTTTTGTGAAAGAGCACAGTTAGAAAGATATGGCATATAGAAGCAAACCGGATGGACATCATGAAAATGATCGGAGAGGTTGAGGGTAGAGGAAGTTCAGGAGTAAAAACAAAATATAATTATTGTAAAATTGACTGTCCATAAAATGTATATAGCATGTATAAGCTGGAAGTAGAGCCCTAAGCATTGTTGTTCACTAGTTTACTCCAATTAGGGAAGGGGTGGTGGGGTTGGAAAGTAATAAAGGGAAATATATTTTTTTTAAGGATGTGTGTATGTATGTATGTATGTATATATATTTGCGAGAAAAAAAAACATATGGGGGATTGGAAGTGATGCAGACAATTACATTGATGGAAGTTACAATCTATCTGCAATATTAAAGCTGATCTACTCCCTAAAAAAAAGAAAACTAAAATAAATAAATAAATATGTTCTATGGGTGTCACCTCATTACGCTGCCTTATGCTCAAAAAAGTGATGTGCCTATAAACGTTGACTACAATCAATCAAACACATTCAATAAAACATCAGGTTTGGGTCAAATCCAATACAACACATCACAGAGGTGGCAGCAGCTGAGACTGGGGAGTTTTTCAGGATCAAAATAAATATGAAAAAAATTAAAGTAAAACCTGCCTCAGTCTTCTATTACCTAACCCTAACCCTAGGAGTTGCAAAGGGAGGGTATATTACTGGAAACTTTTTAAGTTTACCAGTAAACTACCAGAATTGGTATCATTCAAGGATTGTATGTAATCGATCACAATACATTAAGTGGCCCTTTTGGGTACTTCAGGTGTCTGAAATTATCTCTGGCCCTCTGTGTGGCCTTATCACATGTAAAATATATGACAAGATTAAATAAGATTATAATCCTAAATATAAACCATTTAATTTAGTGAATATGTGGTAAGGAGCCTTGGCAAGCCAGAACAGCTCATAGGGCAGGAGCCTATGTCCTGTAGCGTGAGGCAGCTTGATGTACAAGTACAGTGGCTAGCGAAAGTATTCACCCTCCTTGTCATTTTTCCTATTGTGTTGCCTTACAACCTGGAATTAAAATTGTTTTTTTGTATAATTTGATTTACACAACATGCCTACCACTTTGAAGATGCAAAATATTTTTTGGTGCGAAACTATTCACCCCCCCTATTCCAAGACATTTAAATGTTTCCCCTTAAACCAATTGAGTGTTGCTTTAGCAGTATGCTTAGGGTCATTGTCCTGCTGGAAGATGAATCTCCTTCCCAGTCTCAAATCTCTGGAAGACTGAAACAGGTTTCCCTCAAGCATTTCCCTGTATTTAGAGCCATCCATCATTCCTTCAATTCTGACCAGTTTCCCAGTCCCTGCCGATGAAAAACATCCCCACAGCATGATGCTGCAACCACCATGCTTCACTGTGGGGATGGTGTTCTCAGGGTGATGAGAGGTGTTGGGTTTGCGCAAGACATAGCGTTTTCCTTGATGGCCAAAAAGCTCAATTTTAGTCTCATCTGACCAGAGTACCTTCTTCCATATGTTTGGGGAGTCTCCCACATGCCTTTTGGTGAACACCAAACATGTTTGCTTATTCTTTTCTTAAAGCAATGTCTTTTTTCTGGCCACTCTTCCGTAAAGCCCAGCTCTGTGGAGTGTACGGCTTAATGTGGTCCTATGGACAGATACTCCAGTCTCCGCTGTGGAGCTTTGCAGCTCCTTCAGGGTTATCTTAGGTCTTTTTGTTGCCGCTCTGATTAATGCCCTCCTTACCTGGTCCGTTAGTTTTGGTGGGCGGCCCTCTCTTGGCAGGTTTGTTGTGGTGCCATATTCTTTAAAAAAAAAATTATAATGGATTTAATGGTGCTCCGTGGGAAGTTTCAGATATTTTTTTATAACCCAACCCTGATCTGTACTTCTCCACGACTTTGTCCCTGACCTGTTTGGAGAGCTCTTTGGTCTTCATGGTGCCACTTGCTTGGTGGTGCCCCTTGCTTAGTGGTGTTGCAGACTCTGGGGCCTTTCAGAACAGGTGTATATATACTGAGATCATGTGACACTTAGATTGCACACAGATGGACTTTATTTTTAATTTTTTTCACTTCACCAATTTGGACTATTTTGTGTATGCCCATTACATGAAATCCAAATAAAAATCATTTTAAATTACAGGTTGTAATGCAACAAAATAGGAAAAACACCATGGGGGATGAATACTTTTGCAAGGCACTGTAAATCCCCTAGACAGGATGCAAGTTTATCGCAGGGCCTTAACCCCGATTATATTTCCTTAATGCTGAGTGCAGAGATTCATCAGATCCCATTTTCACAGTCTTTGGTATGACTCAGCCAGGGATTGAACTCACAACCTTTCAATCTCAGGGCGGACACTCTAACAACAAGGCCACTGAGTTGGTTAATATGTGGGGGTAAGCATAATATCCTTTTATTTATTGTACTATGTCAATATGTATTTGTTGCCAATGTTTTGGCGTCAAACTGGTGGCAGTTGTCAAGAAAAGTCAATAGTTGGAAGAGTTGCAGAGTTCATTGAAAATAATGCATTTGTTGATTAGATGCTTTTTTCATTAATTAGGCAATTTGTTCTTGAACATAGGGTATATCTACTAGAAACTCATGGACAATATTATATATTTTTAAAGTTATTCAAGAATAAATTACCAAAGTTACGATAGATTGCAATATATTTTCTGTTAATTACCAAAATTACTGAAGATTCTAATTGAACTTCAGTCTGGTCATATACACACATCTTATCGACCAGTAACTTTGGAAATTACCTGTAGCTTTGCAACCCAACCTGGGATAGAGTTTTATTCAAACCTGGGTTCTAATAGTTTCATTTTCTTTGCGATACTTTGTTTGTACTTTTGTGACTACTTCATTAGTCCCCTTACGCCAGGAAAGCTCAATCAAGCAAAGCATAAGTATTAGAAAGAAAACAAACCCATACTAATTGAACTTCAGTCTGGTCATATACACACATCTTATCGACCACTACTCTCACATACTAAGGAAAAGGTAAAGCGTTTGTGATTCACATAACTCAACACTGCAGTGGCTGCTGAAATGGAAAGGAACTGAACTCAAAATAAATTGAGAATATCTGGTTCAATAGTGTAGTAATCGCTTCCCAGCATCAGAGGGTGTCTGTGAAGAGTTGGTTATGGTCTGGGCTTTAATCTGGGATTTACGGATTCATTTCTATCCAATTAAATCATTTCTGCAAGTGACACATCAACATCAGCGCCACTTTCAGCTCAATGAACTATTTCTCATTCTCACTAAAAGTTACAGGGGGTTGCCAGGTTGAGCTCCGGGTTACCAGGTTGGGTCCTGGTGAGTTGCCAGGTTGAGGGTGAGAGTGAGGGAAGGAATGGTTTGTTTGAACTGAGTCTCACAGAGGAGATTGGTTGGTTGGTTCTCAGTGCTCTGAGACGGCTGCCAGGTTAGGCTCAGTGGCTAGTGGGCTTCCAGCAGGCTCTCCCAGGATGTTGACACTGGAGACGGACCACACATCACTCATCTCTGTCAGGGGGATGAGGTTAGGGGTTGACAAAGGTCATTATCATTCATACATATGTAATAATGATTAATTAAGTAATATATTTAATACATTGTCTTTTTAATTTCAACCAATCTCTTTTCTAAGCCTATATAGCAGGGTTCCCCAACTGGCGGCCCACGAGCGGAATTTGACCCGCAAGTGATTTTTATTTGTCCCCCCAAGTTTTCTGAGCAAAAATAATAATAGTAATTTATTTATTTTTATTGATGGACATAAAAGACTCCAAGTGATTTGAATTTTGGAAATCTGTTCCAACGTATTCCAACGCATAATAGAGAGATATATGCTATGTGATTGTATACAAACGTAAGCAAGGTTTGAAATTATTTTAGTTAGTCAAATATTATATCTGTTTGCAAATTGACCGCAAGAAGCCCAGTCTACATATTATTTGTAATTATGTTCCGGCACCCTGACCATCCATTCAAGAAAAAATCAGCCAGCCGCTGAATCTAATTGATGATCCCTGCTATATAGGTTAGTGCGTGCATGTGTACAGTGGGGGAAAAAAGTATTTAGTCAGCCACCAATTGTGCAAGCTCTCCCACTTAAAAAGATGAGAGAGGCCTGTAATTTTCATCATAGGTACACGTCAACTATGACAGACAAAATGAGAATAAAAATCCAGAAAATCACATTGTAGGATTTTTAATTAATTTATTTGCAAATTATGGTGGAAAATAAGTATTTGGTCACCTACAAACAAGCAAGATTTCTGGCTCTCACAGACCTGTAACTTCTTCTTTAAGAGGCTCCTCTGTCCTCCACTTGTTACCTGTATTAATGGCACCTGTTTGAACTTGTTATCAGTATAAAAGACACCTGTCCACAACCTCAAACAGTCACACTCCAAACTCCACTATGGCCAAGACCAAAGAGCTGTCAAAGGACACCAGAAACAAAATTGTAGACCTGCACCAGGCTGGGAAGACTGAATCTGCGATAGGTAAGCAGCTTGGTTTGAAGAAATCAACTGTGGGAGCAATTATTAGGAAATGGAAGACATACAAGACCACTGATAATCTCCCTCGATCTGGGGCTCCACGCAAGATCTCACCCTGTGGGGTCAAAATGATCACAAGAACGGTGAGCAAAAATCCCAGAACCACACGGGGGGACCTAGTGAATGACCTGCAGAGAGCTCGGACCAAAGTAACAAAGCCTACCATCAGTAACACACTACGCCGCCAGGGACTCAAATCCTGCAGTGCCAGACGTGTCCCCCTGCTTAAGCCAGTACATGTCCAGGCCCGTCTGAAGTTTGCTAGAGTGCATTTGGATGATCCAGAAGAGGATTGGGAGAATGTCATATGGTCAGATGAAACCAAAATAGAACTTTTTGGTAAAAACTCAACTTGTCGTGTTTGGAGGACAAAGAATGCTGAGTTGCATCCAAAGAACACCATACCTACTGTGAAGCATGTGGGTGGAAACATCATGCTTTGGGGCTGTTTTTTTGCAAAGGGACCAGGACGACTGATCCGTGTAAAGGAAAGAATGAATGGGGCCATGTATCATGAGATTTTGAGTGAAAACCTCCTTCCATCAGCAAGGGCATTGAAGATGAAACGTGGCTGGGTCTTTCAGCATGACAATGATCCCAAACACACCGCCCGGGCAACGAAGGAGTGGCTTCGTAAGAACCATTTCAAGGTCCTGGAGTGGCCTAGCCAGTCTCCAGATCTCAACCCCATAGAAAATCTTTGGAGGGAGTTGAAAGTCCGTGTTACCCAGCGACAACCCCAAAACATCACTGCTCTAGAGAAGATCTGCATGGAGGAATGGGCCAAAATACCAGCAACAGTGTGTGAAAACCTTGTGAAGACTTACAGAAAACGTTTGACCTGTGTCATTGCCAACAAAGGGTATATAACAAAGTATTGAGAAACTTTTGTTATTGACCAAATACTTATTTTCCACCATAATTTGCAAATAAATTCATTAAAAATCCTACAATGTGATTTTCTGGATTTTTTTTTCTCATTTTGTCTGTCATAGTTGACGTGTACCTATGATGAAAATTACAGGCCTCTCTCATCTTTTTAAGTGGGAGAACTTGCACAATTGGTGGCTGACTAAATACTTTTTTTCCCCCACTGTACATGTATCTCATATGTTACCAAAGCTAGCCATGGAGCAGAGACTGGGTAACTCCTACCAACACCCTCTAACTCACCTGTCCTGAACTTGCTGTAGGTGGCGTGTTCTAGTGTGGGTTTGCTGCCCGAACAGAAAGCCAAGCCTCGTTCTCGCCACCTGTCACCAACACAGTTACAGTCATCGCTACAAGCAGTGACACGACAGGAAGGGACACTACAGGAAGTGACATCACCGTTAAATCCAAAACAGACTGACCTTCATCCGAAGCTTCAATTTCACTCACATAACCAATCTACGTTTTTTATGTAGGCATATTAAAAGGCAACTTACGACGACCCTCGTTCTCTGTATTCTAGTGGGCTCACTCACCAGTGGAAGATGAAGATGATGAGGATTAGGATGAAGGACACCACGTCGGTGAGGACCCACATTAGATTGTACTCATCTGGAGTCTGAGAGAGAAAGACAGACAACCATTGTCTCTAGGTGTATTACCTTCACCAATCCAACCAATTTTAGATCTGTGATACTTCAAGGAAGATAGGATATAGGCTGCATTTGGGCCCTGTATCCTAATAATCGGTCCTTTCTCCCAAAGTGTGCACTTGTTCACTTCCCTTCATGGATTTGAAAGAAAATGACTGGAAAAATAAATACCTGTATGATGGAAACTCTCTCTAGCTCATGCCTACACCAAATACAATGTTTTTACATTTGTGGAGAGTAGTGAACAAGTGCACACTTCCTGTGAAAAGAGAGATTATTGGGATGCAGAAGTATTTGTCCCGGGTTGTTGTTGTTCTCACCATGAGGAAGAGGGGTCTGGTGAGTTTGTTGAGGAGCTGTGGGGCATTGGTGGTGACAGACTGAGCCCCGGCGCACCAGGCCAGAGAGTAGAGCCACGGCTGGCTGATCACATACAGGTTGGTGCTGATGTTAGCCGCTGCATACTCACTGGGGGAAGCATCACAAACACACAGACAGATAATGAACAAACACATACCCACTTAACGCACAGACACACACACAAACAAACACAGACACACCTGATCATCTCTGTAGACATGGAGCTGTAGTGCAGGTTGAGTTGGACGATGTGGTTCTGCTGCAGCTCCTCCACTGGACCCCGTGACCCTGAGGTCTGCTGGAGGTCAGGGTCCATCTCCTGGACCAGGCTCCGCAGGTCTGGCGGCAGCCACAGCACCTGACACACACACGCATTCACACAGAGACACACACACACAGACTAGAGGTCTTTACGGATCCACCTGTACCCGAATACCTGAGACCCGATCCGGGACCCGATTGTCACAGGTCTCGGGTAGGTGTAATTTTAACTGACTTGTCCAAACGCGACTGCTGCAGTAGAGCGAGAGAGAGAGAAATTGTATAATTTATGCTACTGCTCTTTGCTTTTCACGAGAGTGGAGCTTGTAGCTTGTTGTTGTTATTGGCCAATCATAAGTCATCAAAGAGGCAATAGGCTACAGTCATAGAGCCTCCGTGTGGGGCAAAAGTTATATAAAAGTCTATACGGAATGGTTCTAGTTGTCCTCGGGGCCGTATGGAACGGGTCTCTATATTGTCAACATTTATTTATGCATTTTGGGTCCAGATGGGAAAGCCCCAGGTCCATTTCGGAACGGGTCCAACTTTTTGGACCCGTGAGGGGCCCTAACACAGACACAAAGTGAAGAAGTTTCCCCTAGTTGCAGATCTAGGATCTGCTTCCCATCCCCCAATCCTAACCTTAACCATTAGTGAGGAAAATGCAAAACTGAGATCAGCGTCTAGGGGCAATTTCACCCTACTCCTCTTTATAACATCGTCCCTCAGTGCCCTCACCTGGTGTGAGTGGATGGAGGACTCGTTCTGGATGAACTCAAGGGTGTGTGTGATCCAGGTGTCCCTGTAGGGGTGGCCCCGAGGGGGCCGGTAGAGGTCAAAGATCACCTGTTTGCCCCTCTGGGCCGCCAGCTCCAGGAAGTCCCTGAGGGAGCACACGGACTGGTTCTGTGCCTGCACCCTGTCCTCGGCACCCAGAGACCAGGCCGTGCCGAACGGGTCGCGCTGCAGAACCACCAGGGGGAGAGGGACAGTCAGTATACGGAATGCTTTGGCATAATGGCAAATCATATTGCATGGCGCAATGCAGGGGACAATGTAATATCACATTGTATTCTATAAAGTCGGTAGTTGTGCAATTGGAGTTGAGCAATTGATAACCTCCCAACCCCCATCGATAGTACTTTGGTGTAGTGACAAAATGTCTATCTTCTCTATCCATCATCTTATTATGTTGTCGTAACTACTTCCATTGGAGACAAACATGCCCTGGTTTCCCATCATACCATGTCCATGAAGCAAAATGATCATGATCTTTATTAAAAAGCAGTTCAAGACTAGGCTTATTTTACGTGACCCTAAGTCTTCCAGAGGTACTACCGCAGCGGCGGTTGGTGACTCACATAGAGGAACCAGGCCCCGGCGTTGAGGGTCTCCAGCTCCCCCCAGGTGAACATGGCCGCAGGGGCGTCCGTCCGGTTGGGGAACACCTTATGCACGTTGGTAGTCCTCCTCAGGGTGTGGTCGTGCATCAGGAAGGGCACCCCGTCGTAGCTACAGCAACGAGAGGAGGACATGGTAGTTACTGAGTTGATGATTATGGAGTTGACTGAAGTGCAGCACGATAACCCAGTCAAAGAGAGCCAGGTACTTTATCAATCCATCTATAATTTATTCAGGTATGTCAAAGTCTCCTTCAGTAAATGTTTTACTCCAATAAAAATGCCCAGGACTAGCATGGGAAAGAACCTGATGCCAATGGCTTGTTGATGATATGAGCTCACCAGCTATGTTGGGCTAACCTTGCATAGCAAGCTTGTTTCATAATACCCACGACTGGTGAGATAGACTAATGTTGGTACATGCTTAGGTACACAAGATGGACAGGGTGTGAGGAGGGTGGACAACCACCACTGACCTGATGGTGACGTCAGTCTCCAGACCTTCCCCTCCAGCCTCCACTGCCTTCTTAAAGGACATGAGTGTGTTCTCTGGAGCAAGCTGGGATTTCACACATACAAATAATTTTAACATACAGTTACCCTAAACAGAGAGGTGCTACCAGCACGGGTGATAAATAGCAGGCATAAAGATCAGTTCAGCAAACTAGCGCGTCTCACGATGGCTAATAACACAGCCCAAACGTTTTTACTTATACTGGCAACGCTTTTTTTTTATCTAACCACCACACTTCTTCTACTACTACTACTACTACTGCTACTACTACTACTGTTTAAAACCCTCCCTCCTTAACCCTGGGGCCCTGGGAGAGACACAAACTTTGTAGCTTTTTACTGATGAGGTAGGCTACCATCCCCCGCCTCAGCCTGACTATTGTTCAGTGGCATAGGGCACTTCACACCTATGTGTTAGGGACCAGTTTGCAAGGGAACTCAGTCAGCTGACCAAGGCCAGCCAATCACAGGCTCCACCTGCTGGGTAACAGACCCCCATTCCTGCTTGTGCTTGAGTTGTTTCTAGGAGGGCAGGTTGAGAAGGTGCTCTGTAAACTCCTGTCCTCCACTACATCTCATTACTGGACCTTTCCTGAATGGACAAGCATTCCCTGGACTTCCCCAACCCTGTGTTAGTGTGTCACTGAACATGTAAGTGGACTTTGTTAGGGTCCATGTGTGTATTTGATCTGTATACATGTTATAGGCTGCTATTCTGACCTACTAAGCAAAAGAGCAGTAACTGCTCAGAGTGAAACTGAGAGAAATGACTTCAACGTTTTTCTATTGTCCAGCCAAATGAATTGTAGGCAGATCATTGGAGCTGTGGTTATCTGTTGTCTTACTATGAGGTTATTTTTTATTCATATTGACCCTGACCTCTGACATGACCTTTGACCCTAGATGGCAGTTACTGCCTTCTTGCTTGGTACACCCATTTCCATTACGATTTTTTTTCTCATACAAACTTGTGTTAGTATATTTATTTGTCTGTGGCTGTCAGTGTCATATAGTTTGATACTTATATCAGCAAAGAACAATAAATAATACCAAGGTTTACCGTAGACACTGCAGCCCAAAGCTCAGTGAAACCAAGGTAAAAGACAGTAACTGACGTGAGGGATGCCAGTTACTGCCTTTTTCCTTGGTTTCACTTTAACTTTTTGCAGTTACTGCAAACATGACCCCCCATTTTCTCCATAATACAACACAATGGAGGCAGGATATTTGTCCCCTGTAGCTCAGTTGGTAGAGCATGGCGCTTGCAACGCCAGGGTTGTGGGTTCGTTTCCCACGGGGGGCCAGTATGAAAATGTATGCACTCACTAATTGTAAGTCGCTCTGGATAAGAGCGTCTGCTAAATGACTAAAATGTAAATGTAAATAAAGCATGTATTTAATGTCTATAAAATGTAAATAACTCATTTATTGACCAAATGTGCAGTTACTGCTCTTTTGCTTGGTAGGACAGTATGCTTCCTTAAGAAGTGTCTTTGTCAGGATTGCCTCCTTCTGTAATCCCATGTTACATAATTCACACAGTCTGCCCTTTGGCATAGTTCAGTGTACTTTTATGTTAAGGCAATGAGGTAAAATCTCTCCTCATTGCTTTCTATGGGCCAAGATGTCATTGAATATCTTCACCTAAAATGGCCGTCCATTTGACGTCATCATGCCCCGGTCACTTCCTGATATGGTCATATCCACATTCAACATGGCCGCTTGTTAGTATGTTAGCCTTTGTAGTTTTAACACGGATGCTAACTTGCCCTTACTGTCCATACTACTGTGTGGTATTACCTAGAGCCTTAGGCCTACTAGCCCTTGGCCTGCTAGCATGCTAGCTCCCCCTGTACATGTTGTATACTATGCTAGTCAGGCCTACCCACCATGGGTGCCCCTCTGTGCCCGATGAGGGCTGGAGCGGGGCCCAGAGCACACTCTTTTTTGAGGCAGGGTGAGTACAAGCCCAGGGGAACCAGGTAGAGGGCACACAGCACCGCCAGGTACAGCCCTATGATGAGCGTCCGCCCAACTGGAACACACACACACTGTTCATTAAGGGATACAGATATCCATTTCTGGTTGATTCATTTCCTTAAGACCAAAGACATTACACCATAATACACATTTTGTAAAACAAATAATTCAAATTAAACAAAACATGAATATCTACCGCTGTATTGACTATATGCAGACATATTATACGTTTGAGATCAGCGGAGGCTGGTGGGAGGAGCTACAGGTACCATGCCATTGAATCCATTCCAGCCATTACAATGAGCCCGTCCTCCTATAGCTCCTCCCACCAGCCTCCTCTGATTGAGATAGAAAACCTCCCTGAAGTTTCCGTCCTTGCCATGGGTATGACGTCAGTATTTGCCTAATTCTACTCTATAATTTGCATATTATTTATACAGCTGCTCAAACAAGCCCCAGCTACTCAAAGTCTCACCTTTCTTATTGATGCAGAAGAAATGCAAGGCTATTGGCCAGGACAGCAGACTCATCAGCAAGACTCCTCCCATGTGTAAATATGGCGCCGTCACCTATTCAAAACATAAACAAATTGCAGAAGGTGAGGGAAAGACAGAGAATAAAGAGATAGGGATGACTATATAGACGAAAGAAGGAAAAAAGGGAGGCCCCACCTGGAAAGAGAGGAGGAGAGTGGTCCACTCTTTGCTCCATAGGTCAGACAGCACTGCTGTGGCCACAATGGAGAAGGCTAGAGTCACCAGGATACCAATCTGGCAACACACCCAGAGTTAGGACAACAGACAACCATTAGCACCATACTCTATTCACACTACTGAGCACTTCATTCACCTAACTTATTTTTTCAGGATCTATCCATAAATCTTCAGCATTTATTTTAACTTGAGTCTTTTCTTCTACCAGGCAGTCAGCAATTTCTTCTAGGTCAAATCATTAATTTCATCTAGTCACAGAAGAATGGATGGATGATTGTCCAGCTTATGGGCCATAAGGACAAAGATAATGTCTGGGAGAGACAAAGAGATGTATAGGTCACATGAGGAAGTTGAAAGGAGCGCGGACGTTACCTTGTGGCCCCAGTGTAGGTACAGCTTCTGTCCCTCTGACAGCAGACACACAGCCAACAGCTACAACTCAAAACACACACACCTCATTTCAGACAGATCACTCCCCCCCCAGTGAAGCCCCATGCCCCCTACCCCTCAAACAAACAAAAAAACACACAAATACACCCCTCACCAGCAGCAGAGTGACGTAGCTGAAAAAGGCGGCAGCGATGACCAGCAACACAACAGACCAGGGGAACCAGAAACCCAGGATCCCAAAGTTAAACCTGGAAAGAGAGAAAAGGGGAAGAAAGCAAGAGTGAGAGGATGTCGAGAGTTGAGGGAGAGGATGTGTGTGTGTGTCACACGAGAGGGAGAGAGTGAGTGAGAGAGCAGGAGACACAGAAAGAAAGCAGAGAGTGCAGCAGTTAGACAGTGAACAGTCAGCACCAGAGACACTATTTGTGACTATACAGTATGAGGTAATGTTGTTTGTGTGTGTGTGTATAATGTATGTGTGTGCGCTTGAGTCATTATATAATTGCATGCTTGTTCATAAAGTACTTTGATGTGTGTATACATTACATTACGAATATATACTTGACTAACCTGTACCCCATAACATTGACTCGGTACCGGTACCCCCTGTATATAGCCTCGTTATTGTTATTTTATTGTGTTATTTTGTATTTTTTAAAATGTTGTTTTACTTTAGTTTATTTAGTAAATATTTTCTTAACTCTTTCTTGAACTGCATTGTTGGTTAAGGGCTTGTAAGTAAGAATTTCACGGTAAGGTCTACACCTGTTGTATTCGGCGCATGTGACAAATAAAATGTGATTTGATTTGATATACTAGCAGACCTACCAGTCAAAATCATTGTAGTCATTCTGAGCTTCACTCCAGAAGTAGAGGAAGACCAGCGTGAGACAGAACGTCAAGATGAGGAGAGCAAAGCTGACACACTCCAACTGCAGGATAGAGAAACACAATAAGTCCCACAGACTTCATATCAAATTCATAGCCCATATACAGCCTTCGGAAAGTATTCAGACCCCTTGACTTAAATTGTTTTTTTTCCTCATCAACCTACATACAATACTCCATAATGACAAAGCAAAAACAGAAATATTACATTTACATAAGTATTCAGACCCTTTACTCAGTACTTTGTTGAAGCACCTTTGGCAGCAATTACAGCCTCGGGTCTTCTTGTGTATGACACTACAAGCTTGGCACACCTGTATTTGGGGAGATTCTCCAATTCTTCTCTGCACATCCTCTCAGGCGCTGTCAGGTTGGATGGGGAGCGTTGCTGCACAGCTATTTTCAGGTCCTTCCAGAGATGTTCGATCGGGCTCAAGTCCGGGCTCTGGCTGGGCCACTCAAGGACATTCAGAGACTTGTCCCGAAGCCACTACTGCGTTGTCTTGGCTGTGTGCTTGGGGTCGTTGTCCTTCGCCCCAGTCTGAGGTCCTGAGCGCTCTGGAGCAGGTTTTCATCAAGGATCTCTCTGTACTTTGCTCCGTTCATCTTTGCTTCAATCCTGACTAGTCTCCCAGTCCCTGCCACTGAAAAACACCCCCACAGGTTTCCTCAAGACGTGATGCTTGGCATTCAGGCCAAAGAGTTCAATCCTAGTTTCATCACACCAGAGAATCTTGTTTTTCATGGTCTGAGAGTCTTTAGGTGCCTTTTGTCAAACTCCAAGCGGGCTGTCATTTTACAGAGGAGTGGCTTCCTTCTGGCCACTCTACCATAAAGGCCTGATTGGTGGAGTGCTGCAGAGATGGAACTCTGGAGTTCTGTCAGAGTGACCATTGGGTTCTTGGTCACGTCCCTGACCAAGGCCCTTCTCCCCCGATTGCTCAGTTTGGCCGGGCGGCCAGCTCTAGGAAGACTCTTGGAGGCCACTGTGTTTTTGGGGACCTTCAATGCTGCAGACATTTTTTGGTACCCTTCCCCAGATCTGAGCCTCGACACAATCCTGTCTCGGAGCTCTACGGACAATTCCTTTGACCTCATGGCTTTTACTCTGACATGCACTGTCAACTGTGGGACCGTATATAGACAGGAGTGTACCTTGCCAAATCATGTCCAATCAATTGAATTTACCACAGGTGGACTTCAATCAAGTTGTAGAAACATCTCAAGGATGATCAATGGAAACAGGATGCACCTGAGCTCAATTTCGAGTTTCATAGCAAAGGGTCTGAATACTTATGTAAATAAGGTATTTCTGTTTTGTATTTTTTATAAATCAGCAAACATTTCGCTTTGTCATTATGGGGTATTGTGTGTAGATTGATGAGGATTTTTATTTTTTTAATCCATTTTAGAATAAGGCTGTAACGTAACAAAATGTGGAAAAAGGAAAGGGGTCTGAATACTTTCCGAATTCTCTGTATGCATTTATACCCTAGAATGCTTTCCATACAGTTGACGGCGTGCCCTTTGAACTCTGAAGAGAGGGAGGAATGCGAGGAAAAAGCTCCTTATTGGCTTAACAATGATTGTAAAACCGTGGCAGTACAAATTATGTAAGCAATGCTAGAGAGGGATATTGACAGAGTGAGGGAGAGAAAGAGAGTGTGTGTTTGACTCACGTTGTGAGATTGGGTGTGCACAGAGAGTGTGCACAGAGAGAGTACATTGTAGTAGTGTGTGTGTGTGTGTGTGAGTATAGCCTCTGCTCCATCAGGGTTGTAAAAACATCCTGTAAAATCACAGTCCCTGACTTCTCTAACCTTGCTGCAGCAGCAGTCTCCCGGTGTGGCGCGGGTCCTCTGGTAGCGTCTCCATTGACAGCCGTAGAGGCCGGCCAGGCATGAGACATAGGGCTGGTGCTCGTAGCGCTGTAGCAGCCGCCGACGCACCACACGCAGCTTCCCCAGCTTGAGCTTGGACAGGGTGGTCGGAGAGGGGCCCATGGCTCACACACACAGCACCATCACTGATCACACACCAGAGAGAGAGAGGAGGAAGAGGTGGAAGAAGTGAATGATGAGAGGAGCGTAAGGAGCTTGGAATGGGAAGGGAGAGAGTAATGGGAGAAATAGTGTTAATATTGTAGCGACCTTAACCCAAGCCCACATAGAGGTCTTGTCAAGGGGTTCGGATTTCACTAGGTCCCAGGTTCAAGTCCCGGTTGGAACTATTGCCTAACTTCATCACAAAGGTAGAGATAGTGGAGAAGGACAATATGTAAAAGGAAGTTAAGTCTAAACTTAACCCTGGCCCCCAAACACTTCACAATTGCTGTAGGCCTAGATAATGAATCATAAAACCATACTAGGTAGGTGATAAACAGGCTAGGTAAAGGACAAGTCCCATTCTGACACACATCTTCATTTTCACAATGCTTCAGTTTGGGATGGTGACTGCTATGTTCTGTTAATTACTGATGTCCCCTTTAAGAACGGAGCGCCCTTGATCATGCACAGTTTTGCCCTATGTTATTCTTGTACTAACTAGCTTAGTAAATGTGAAGCTCCAGTTCACTTCCTTGTATTCGGAGTCTTTCTGATTATATCAATTAGTAATAAGAGCTAAGACACTACAATGGTGACGAGGAAGATTACCTACAGTGTGCATCACGAATGCAGATGGAGCTTGTAGAAAAAGGGGACGATTTTGACCCTGTAGCGCAGCTAGCAAGCAGTGACGACGAGGGGAGTGCTGACGAGAACGAGGCGGCAGATCAAAGACCCGCGGAGCCGGAGGTAAAGAGAATGGCTAGCATTGGGAAAATAGATGTGTTTGATGACACGCAAGAAAACTGGGCAACTTACATTGAAGGACTGGAACAGTACTTCATTGCAAACAACATTACTGATAACAAGAGAGTACCAGCGTTGTTGAGTTTGATTGGCCCAAAAACGTACAGTTTGCTAAGAGATCTGACTGCCCCTCTGAAGCCCTCCAATAAAACATTCACAGAGATTGTGGAGATATTGCAAAATCACCTATCACCTAAACCACTCCTCATCGCGGAATGTTTTCGTTTCCACAAGAGAGACCAGAATGAGGGGGAGGGTGTTAGTACATATGTAGCAGAGTTGAAGAAACTGTCTGAGCATTGCCAGTTTGGAGAGAACCTTAATGACACGTTAAGGGATAGATTTGTTTGTGGACTGAAACATGAACACATTCAGAAACGTTTGCTCACAGAATCAGATATCACTTTTGCAAAGGCTGTTGAAATTGCTGTAGCTATGGAAATCGCAACCAAAGATGCAATTGAGTTGCAAAGTAAAATAAATACCGACCTTCTAACACAAACATCCCTGCACTAGTTCACGCAGCCGACCAAGAAATGCAACAGGCGTGACAGAGATTGTCACAGAGCAGAGGACTGCCATTTCAAAGACGAAATTTGTCACAAATGCAATAGAAGGGGGCACATTCAAAGAGAATGCAGAGCAAAATACAGTCACAGCAGGAAAAATTGGAAAATGAAAGGGTCTGTGAATGCACTAGCAGAGAACAGTGGCAGTGATTCAGATGAACAATTCATTGGTACAATGGAGTTAAACACAGTGACTTCTCCCAGCAGTAGCATAATATGGGTGACACCAGAAATCGAAGGCAAACCCCTCAAAATGGAGCTGGATGGGGTCTCCCGAGTGGCGCAGCGGTCTAAGGCACTGCATCGCAGTGCTTGAGGCTTCACTACAGACCCGGGTTCGATCCCAGGCTGTGACCGCAGCCGACCGAGAGACCCATGAGGCAGATGAACAATTGGCCCAATGTCATCCGGGTTAGGGGAGGGTTTGGCCGGCCGGCATGCATGCATGCTGACTTCGGTCGCCAGTTGTACGGTGTTTTCTCCGACACATTGGTGCGGCTGGGTTAAGCGGGCAGTGTGTCAAGAAGCAGTGCGGCTTGGCAGGATCGTGTTTTTCGGAGGACGCATGGCTCTCGACCTTCGCCTTTCCTGAGTTCGTACAGGAGTTGCAGTGTTGGGACAAGACTGTAACTACCAATTGGATATCACGAAAAAGGGGTAAAGCCAGATTTTTTCCATACTCCCTGAGACCAAAGGTGGAAGTGGAAATCGATCACTTGCAGGATACAGGGATCCTGACGAAAGTGGACAGAAGCGAATGGGCCACACCCATTGTTCCTATTGTAAAGAAAGATGGGTCTGTTAGAATGTGTGGGGACTTCAAGGTAACTGTGAATTCAATGTTGCATGTGGACCAATACCCCCTGCCACGTCTGGATGACATCTTTGCTGCACTAGCTGGTGGGAAACACTTCAGTAAAATCGACCTGAAACAGGCTTACCTGCAGCTACCGGTTGAAGAGAGCTCCAAACAGTACCTGACAATAAACACACACAAAGGTCTATACAGGTATAACTGCCTGGTTTTTGGCATTGCGTCGGCCCCAGCCATTTGGCAACAAACTATTGACCAGGTTTTGCAAGGAATCCCAGGAACCCAGTGTATCCTGGATGACATGATCATAACATGATGCACAGACAAAGAGCACCTGGCTAACCTGGAAGAGGTCCTGAGAAGACTGAAAGAGTATGGACTACAGGCAAACTTACAGAAGTGTGCGTTCTTCAAAGACAAGATTGTCTTCTGTGGACATGAAATCGACCGCAATGGATTGCACAAAACACAGGACAAAATCGATGCAGTGGTAAAGGCACCACGACCGCAAAATGTGACAGAAGTGAGATCTTTCACTGGACTGATCAATTACTACAGAAGATTCCCCCCAAACCTTTCAGCAGTACTCCAGTCTCTCAATCTGCTCCTGGAAAAGAATATGACATGGCAGTTGGCAGCACAGTGTGAAAATGCGTTTCTTGAGGTAAAACAGCTCATCACATCTGATCAGGTCCTGATGCATTACGACCCCGAACTGCCAGTGAAGTTGGCTTGTGATGAGTCCCCATATGGCTTAGGCGCCGTCCTTTCACACACACTGAAAGATGGGTCAGAGAGGCCAGTGGCCTTTGCGTCACAAACTTTAATGACGCAGTGAAGAATTATTTCACAAATCGACAAAGAAGCACTGGCGCTAGTGTGGGGCGTCAAGAAATTCCATGCATACCTATATGGCAAGCGTTTCACACTGGTTACGGATCACCAGCCGTGGCTTTCCATTTTCAGTCCAAAGAAAGGCATTCCGGCAATGACAGCGGCAAGGTTACAGCGATACGCCTTGTTCCTTGCCGGTCATATGTATGACATTGAGTTTAAGCCGTCGTCCCTCCACACAAATGCAGATGGATTATCCAGACTGCCCTGTACAAGAGAAAGACAAAGGAGTGTGGATGCAGTGGACATTTTCCATACCTCTCAGCTCGAGGCACTACCTGTCACAAGCACAGTTATCAAACAGGAGACAAGGAAAGATGTGACATTGTCAAAAGTATACACCTACACCATGTCAGGATGGCCAGCTACAGGTAGAAAGGAGCTGACACCGTATTTCCAGCAGAGAAATGAAATTACACCGTACCAAGGATGTTTGATGTGGGGAATGAGAGTCATGATACCCCAGAAATGCCAACATCAGGTTTTGCAGCAACTACATGAAGGGCATGTTGGAATTGTCAAAATGAAGCTGCTCGCAAGGAGCCACTTCTGGTGGCCCGGTCTGGATCAGATAGAAAACATGGCGAAGAACTGTAGCGGATGTTTGGAAACCCTTCACATGCCTGCTCCTGCCCCAGTCCACCCATGGGAATGGCCCACAGAGCCATGGCAGAGAATTAATGTGGACTACGCCGGCCCCTTTGAAAAGCACATGTTTCTGGTTATAGTTGATGCCCATTCCAAATAGCCAGAGGTGTTTTGCACTGACTCCTCCACCTCAGCTCAGACTATAGAGTGTCTCAGAACAATGTTTGCACGCTTCGGATTGCCTCTGCAGCTGGTAAGCGACTACTTAAGGTGATCATTATCTGACAACCAATGACATTATACACTACGATGAAAATTACAGAACATTTTCTATGCTCTTAGCCTGTAGGCTGCAGCCGCCTTGATGTACAGTGCCTTCAGAAAGTATTCATACCCCTTGACTTATTCCACATTTTGTTGTGGTACAGCCTGAATGCAAAATGGATTCAATGGATTTTTATTGAAAATGTATTGAAAGTTATATACAGGAATATCTCATTTACAAAAGTATTCACACCCCTGAGTCAATACTTTGTAGAATCACCTTTGGCAGGCATTACAACTGTGAGTCTTTCTGGGTAAGTCTCCAAGAGCTCTCCACAACTAAATTGTGCAACATTTGCAAACTATTATTGTGGCGCAGCGGTTTAAGTCACTTCATCGCAGTGCTTGAGGTGTCACTACAGACCCGGGTTCGATCCCAGGCTGTGTTGCGACCGGGAGACCCATGAGGTGGTGCACAATTGGCCCAGGGGTTAGGGGAGGGTTTGGCCGGCCGGGATGTCCTTGTCCCATCGCGCTCTAGCGACTCCTTGTGGCAGGCCGGGCATGTGCATGCTGACTTTGGTCGCCAGCTGTACGGTGTTTCCTCCGACACATTGGTGTGGCTGGCTTCCATGTTAAGCAAGCAGTGCGGCTTGGTAGGGTTGTGTTTCGGAGGATGCATGGCTCTCGACCTTTGCCTCTCCCGAATCCATATGGGAGTTGCAGTGATGGGACAAGACTGTAACTATCAATTGGGGAGAACATTGGGTAAAAAGTACAAAATAAAAAAAATCTTCAATCTCTGTCAAATTGGTTGTTGATCATTGCTAGTCAACCATTTTTGGGTCTTGCCATAGATTTTCTAGTAGATAAGTTAGTCATTCAAAAATAATGTTAAACACTATTATTGCACACCGTGTGACTTGTTAAGCACATTTTTACTTCTGAACTTATTTAGGCTTGCCATAACAAAGGGGTTGAATAGGCTACATTTCAGCTTTTCATTTCTTTATTAATTTGCA